TGACATGAGCGTTGTGAAATGTCCATGTGTGTGACTGCAGAATGAATGTTAATGGATAGATTATTTATTTCATTGTAGTGGTGATTGTAGAAGTGACGACTGCTTATTTATTTTCTCAAATGTCTTGGCAGTGGTTTGTGTCCTGCTTTTTCTCTCCTTAGACCTTATTTCGAGTGCAAAATAGTATCACATTTTCCAAATTTCAAATTTTATTTTTCTAACAAATAAAAAAACCACATATACAACTGGTTTTCAGAAACTGCGCCCGTGTAAATACATACAACTGTTGGCTGATGTAAAGCTCTTGGCTCTCATCGGATAATAAACAAAAAACAGAAATTTAAAAGGACAATCATTTTTCTCCCTTTAGTCTCTAAGCAGCGTCTTGTGAACCTGGGGACCCCTACCAACTCGTTCGGTGAGGGGCGGCCGCTGCCTCGCCAGACCGCTGTAATAAAGCGTAATCGGTACGACTCACTCGCTCACTGAGCGGCGCTGAGCGGGCTGCTGGAGCTGCACGCCGGCCGGCCACAGGCGTAGTATATCAGCTGGCACGTTTGTTTTGCTGGCAGAGCTAAAGCTAAAGCCCCGTCTAAAGCCCCTCCCGACACCTCACCGGCCCGCCCGGCTCGCACCTCACCCTCACCTCGCATCTCAGCCGCCACCGGGAGAGCAAATCAAAGTCCTTTCACAGTTTACACAACATTAGAAGGCGGCGAAGGGGCGGTTCAATGCTTTCGGAACGCGCGTCAAAGAGGCTTTGAAAGCCCCATCGCCTCGCGAGCAGACCCATTTTATTTGAGGAGGGGGAGGGGAGGGGCGCGCTCGCGGGCGTGGGCCGACCCGGGGCCTGAGCGCACCCGCCTTAGCGGCCAGACGGTGACCACATGGCCACGCCCCCCACCGGGGGGGTTGGGGGTGGCGGGGGTTGGTGTGAGCAGCGCGCCGTGTTCTGCGAGCTCTCTGATGACCCTCCTGGCTCATAGCGTCGTCCGTGATGTGGCTCTAACGATTCTCCCCCGTTTCCCGCAGGGCTACGTGAGGACCTACAAGACTAGCGACGACAACTGCATGCAGAAGTTCCTGTGCGAGGCCAACAGGGAGTGCGCCG